TTTAATGGTGTGTTAATACCACCATTAACATGGGGGTTACACCCATAATGTTTAAAATTCTTCCTATTTAATTGGATATTAATGGCCAGTTAACTCCGTAAAAGTGGAATAATTTTAAACATTACGTAACGGGTTAACTCTAAGAATCAATTTCTCATTCACCCTTCTACCATTTTTGGCGTATAATATATCAAAATATTTATCTCATTTAAGAGAGCACACGTCCATTAATTAACGGTTAAAACCGTTAGTGAACCTATTGATAATTATACCCAAGTTGGTCCATTTAATGCCTATTAAAACGCCAAAAATTCCAACAATCCCCCACATGAATGAAAAATTGATTTGGGGTCGACAACATCCCACGGTTGAAAATCTGCATAGAACATGTAAGTGTCTCCACTTTTGAACATGTCCCTTGTAAAGTATACCTTCTTTACTGGCTGTTTAGTAGAACGCGATGTCTTTGAACTGTACTGCCGCTTGTGTAAACGATAGTATACAATACACAAATTCCAACCAAACGTCATTCTGTTCTCATGGTTGTGCCCATTTTGGTCGTGGGACACGCGCCTGGTTCTGCGAGAGTGTTTAGAGGATTAAGCCCAAGATCCTCCGTTTGAAGCGACCACACTTCACTCTTACATAGGTGATTCTTTAAGAGTATCCCGATTACTCCACTTAGACCACCGTGTCTATTGATTAAGAATCATTAAAGCATATTTATATGCTAGCCTCATCATTTTCGGGAGTCACTGTCTTCAGCAGGAACAGAAGGGACTGACCGGAGGTTCCGGTACCACCCCCACAGTGACCATGCTTAATCCTACAAGTAGGTTGTCCCATTGAACCTGGGTACCAGCCAGGTTGGGTTTTCCTTCATAGGACTATCCTAGCACAAGGGCTTCAAACCTGTTGGCGACAGAAGAAGGAAGCCAGATCAAAGAAGGAAACCGAATCCCTAGTTTCTTTCTTTGATCTGGCTTCCTTCTTCTGTCGCCAACAAAACCCATTCGTGCCACCAACTTCTCATGCAACTCAATTGTTAACCCTTTGGTTAGCGGATCCGTCAGATTATCTTTTGACTTCACATAGTCAATTGTGATAATCCCAGTTGTGAGAAGTTGTCTAATGGTTTTGTATCTACAACGAATATGTCTAGACTTACCATTATACATGTTACTCTTTGCACGTGTTCTTATGTATTTCTAAATCATCAGACCTATACACTAAGAATCGATACGCGCTACCATCATTAGTAATATTTTTAATGGTGTGTTAATACCACTATTAACATGGGGCTTACACCCACAATGTTTAAAATTCTTCCTATTTAATTGGAGATTAATGGCTAGTTAACTCCGTAAAAGTGGAATAATTTTAAACATTACGTAACGGGTTAACTCTGAGAATCAATTTCTCATTCACCCTTCTACCATTTTTGGCGTATAATATATCAAAATATTTATCTCATTTAAGAGAGCACACGTCCATTAATTAACGGTTAAAACCGTTAGTGGACCTATTGATAATTATACCCAAGTTGGTCCATTTAATGCCTATTAAAACGCCAAAAATTCCAACAATCACACTCTCAAAGCTCTAGAGGGCGACACAACAATGAAATGATACTTGAATCATGCATTACTCAATCAATCTATGCATCCAAATGAACTCTCTATATCCGAAAACTAAGATGTCATTTCTCAACAACATCAACAACACACTAGAACCCCACAAACAAAGTATGGGTAGGTTGGGTGTACGCTTGTACATAGAACTTAACCCTTACATATAAAAGTTAGTTAGTGAGCTATTTTCCAAAAGACCCCCAGTTCAAGAAAACAAAAATAGGATAAACCAACACAAGTTCGGCAAATAAAGTAAATTTAAAATAAACACAATAGAATGAAAGAAAGAATAAATGACAACACACACAAAGTAAACACTAAAAAAGGTAGCCAACTAAACCTAGCTTTTCAATAGAATACAAGTCACCAAGCAATCCAATTACCCTACAACTTTAAGTTTCCATTTCTCAACATTTGAGTTTCAAACTCAAAAAAAAGAATAAATTAAATGCACCTCTAGTTTGTTTTCAATTCGATAAAACAGACTAAGTTGCATATATCCAAGTGGGTTATGATGCCTTTTGTGGGGAGTTGATGGATTAAACTCAACAGTCATACAAAACTACAAAAAAAAAAATTCATAATCAGGAACGTACTAATTTTCAATGTAGGAAAGTAAGAGGATCACCCCAGACATGAAAATTTCTCATGATTTCGGTTCTCATAGAAGATGACAGAAGAAAAGTAGCGACCCAATTTCAGTATATAACTAACCTATGTACCACAATAATAGAGTTATAACAAACTAAGTTTTATATAAAAAAATAAAAAAACCCACAAAGATATTCACAATTTTTGCTCAACAATATCGGCATCTACTAGTTTCAAGAATATTAAGATTTGAAAATCATAGCTTCGAAATATAATTAAGCACCAAAAAAACAAGTAACCAATTCGTAGAAAATTGAGAGAAGATGGAGTTAACTGGAAAAAAACTAACACAGAATATATCCAGAAATATTAGTCAAGACCGTGAACCTTCTATTTTAAGGTACGAGCGAGGGCAAGATCAACATGTATTTGGCTGAGGTCGGTGAAGGGAGTTCTAGAAGAAGGGTGGGTCCCGTCCCACCTTGGCCGTCTTGATTCATATCAGTACCAGTGCCGAATTGGCCGTTGGCGGTTTCATCGGACACCGGCGCATGTCCATCATCATTGACTGTGAAATCGCTAGGGATTTGGTGTCAGCCAGCTGCCAGAGTCCGTTTGGCCACTTCGTCTCCATTGCAGCTTTAAATGCAGTGATTCAGTCCTCAATTGGTTGCTGAATGAACAGTAACCACAAAGCGTTGACTTTCAATACTCCAAAATCCAGCTAGAAAACAGAAAAAGTGATTTCGAATTGGGATTCTCTTGCTTGATACGCACCCAGATATCTAAAAATTCCAAGAAAAGAGTCTCGGATTCAAAGATGGAATCAAAAGGGGTGGAGCGGCACCATCGTTCCAGCAACCCTAGAGAGAGAAAATCCCGCCTCCATTTTGTTTGCGCTCTCCTGTCTCGAGATCGAGATCTATGGTGGGTTTCTGAATGACAAAGGGAAGGAATGAAATTGGATGCAGGACAAGGAAGGTTTCTGAATGACGAAGAGAAGGGGTGAAATTGGAGGAGGGACTAGTAGGGTTACATAATTTTGGCCAAATTTTCACTCAAAATAATCTAGTCCCCCTAATTTTGCATATGTTATCCAAAGTGAAACTAGAGGCGGGAGAAGGAGGGAATTGGCCAAATTTTCAAACAAAAACTAGGTTCCTCAATTTGTTTTTAAATTCTTAGTTACCATTTTAAAAAAAGTATTTTTTAAAAATTGATCTAGTTTGAAGTTTTTAATACTTTTTTTCATTTCAAAATTTTAAACTAAACTTTTTTAATTTTTAAAAATGATAGATTTCATGTTATTACGAAATAGAGTAATTGAGTAATCAAAGTAAACGGAAAGTGTAAAGACACACAAATTTGACTACTTCCACGGGCAAAACCGGAGGCAGATTTTATTGTGACAGAGGTTCTAGAGTACAGAATTCTAGTGCTCTATCTCTATATAAATAGGCACACAAAATAGGCAAGACCCAATACAATGATTAGAGCCCAATACAACAACATAGCATACCAGCGAGACCCCCGTTTACTTATCTGCGTAGCGGCAACACAATATAGATTCAAGGCATATTAACATTTCAATTCATTTCAACAAAAAATTATGTATTCCTTCAATTATTAGATTTCATCTCAAACAAATTACTCAAAAGATTTAACATTAATTAAATTTTTAAAAAATATGCATTTTAATTTATTCTCGTCTCAATTTTAATTTTTTAGAATTGATTTTTTATACTCTTCATCTCTATTTTTTAAAAGACACCATCGTTCATACTCTCTGACTTATTGTACTTCAAGAGCCTTGGGAAGTAGCGCTTCAAAACTTCCTTTGCCAAGAGCCTTTGTGAGAATGTCCGCACATTGAGAGTGAGTGGAGACATGGGAGGTACGAATGGAACCCCGTAATAACTCATCGCGGACAAAATGACAATCAATTTCAATATGCTTGGTGCGCTCATGAAAGACAGGATTCACAGCAATGTGAAGAGCTGCCGTACTGTCACAATAAATATGCATCGGAGAAGTGTGATTAACACCCAAAACCCGCAGCAGACCGCGCAACCACTTGAGTTCACATGTGAGGACCGCCATTGAACAATATTCAGCCTCCGCCGAAGTTCGTGCCACAGTGGGTTGTTTCTTTGTTTTCCACGAAATCGGAGAAACACCCAGCTGAACAAACCAACCTGTTAAGGAGCGTCGAGTAAGGGGACAAGCTGCCCAATCGGAATCACACCAACCAGTCAATTGGAGAGAACTGTCCACTCGTAAGAGAACACCATGTCCTGGGCTTCCTTTAAGATAACGATGTTGAAACACGGGCTTGTCACGTTTTCGTACTAAAGCCGTGTTCGTTCTTGTAACAGGTTTTGATAATGCCAAACCGCCGTGATCAAGTCAAACATTGAATATACACGGCGAAGAACGAAGATAAGAGCAAGAGCTAAACGAAGACCAAGAACGAAGACCTTAATCATAGTATTGAGTCGGTCTTTATTGTGATCAAGATCGACCCAATCTTTACACCTTGGCTCTTTAGGCTAAAATCTCTCATTGCATTTCTTACATCATAAAAATGTTTTTCAAACTTGTTTAAGTCATTAAAAACACATGGTGTTCGCCCAAACCAAAAACCAAGCCATCCAGTGTTCGGCTTTCAGAAACCAGCGTTCGGCTTTCGGTTGTCGGGTTTGGTTTTTTTTGACATCCGAACCAACCAAGTGGTTTTCAGCATTTTATGATCTGCTTTCACTCTTTGGCATGTTTAAACGGTTCTCCAACAAAAACACTTTGAAAACCATCTCTCGTTTTTAGTCGTTTGACAAAAACCACGCAAAACGGCGTAAACTTGGCTAGCCGTGGTTTTTAATCAAATGAAGTGATTTTTAAAGTGTCTCACTTGATTTCTTAGCCAAATACATCAAATAAGTGTTTTAAACACTTGGTTTTTATTTTGGAGAACCTTGGATTTTTCGGTCGGTTTTTGCATCGGTTGGCTAGGCCGTGGTTAAGGCAAAAACCACAGGTTTTTGGCTAACCACCCACCCAGCGATGGGAAGAACATCCCATCGATGGGAAGAACATCCCATCGATGGGTAAGTAGCCCCTTAGCCAAACCAACTTCCAGAACCATGCCAAACAGCAATGGGAAGCTCTACCCATCGCTGTTCAAGCGTTGGTCCAACATTATCACAAGGAAGAATGCCCTTACCCAGCGATGGGAAGCTTTATCCATCGATGGGAACCCAGCGATGGGAAGGCTAAACCATCGATGGGAAGGCATGACCGTTGGAAGTCATTTAAGGTTGATTCTTTCCTTGTTTGAAAGTCAACCTCCCACACAGCGATGGGAAGCTTGTACCCATCAATGGGTAGGTAACCGTTGGCTTCAAAACTGAAGGAAAATTGGCTTACCAGCGATGGGTAAGTTCCAAACATCGATGGGAAGCCAATATCCTGCAGATCCCAAATTTATTCAATCCCTTAAATCAAGCCAATCACCCCTTTAATGCATTGGTCCGTTGGAGCCTATTTTGGCACTATAAAAAGGGGTGTTTGGGTCTGCTTTACACATCAATTCACTTCACAATATTCATATCATCATTGCATTAAAACAACATCATTTTTCATAGCTTTCAAGAGCCAATTTGTGGAGTTTGAAGTTGTTCTTGAGCGTACTTAGTTTACTCATAATCTACTCTATAAGAGAGCCTCGTTTTTGAGTGTATTCGTGTTCTTAGACACTTTGAGAAAAAGTATTTCTCTCAGTAGATTCAAAGGAATGGCTGTTTCCTTTGAAGGACTCGTTGAGGTTAGTGTAACTCGAACTCTCAAGTTGTAACGGTTTGTTAAGCACCCGCAAGCTTAACGAGATAGTAGTGTAGCTCGAGAGAGTCTCTCGGGAGGCTGGATTAGCCACAAGTTGTGGTGAACCAGGGTAAAATTCGATGTGCCTCTTACTCTTCTCTTTACTTCTCTTTTAAGTTTTTAATTTCTGCGATTTCTACGATCAAATGCTATTCACCCCCCCCTCTAGCGTTGGTCTTTTATTCTAACAATTGGTATCAGAGCCTAACTCGCGTCTAAACTTAACCGTTCGAGAGTAAAGCGATCATGGGTTCTTCTTCTAGAAATCTTTATGCAGGAATTGGAGAAGGTCAATCAACATCTAGGCCACCGCTTTTTGATGGCACCAACTACACATATTGGAAAGAGCGGATGAGAATTTATATCCGCTCAACCAACTTCCAGTTGTGGTTGGTCATCAAAAACGGCGAAGAAACGCCAATGAAGAAGGTAAATGAAAAACTTGTCCCAAAGACCGAAGACGAATTTGATGCC